ACTCTTCTCACAGCAGGCTTCACATCAGGCTTCACATCACTTTCTTCAATACTTTGAGATGCCAAACGTTTATTTGTTCTTGGCTTTCTAATAGCTAGTTTAACATCATCATCCTCCTCAACAACATCCCTACAACGCTTCTTAGGAGTAGGCTGTGACTCCAAAGCATCTTTAGTCAATAAAGAGTTTTGCTTTGAAACAGGTACCAAACGCACAAGCTTAAAGTCTTCACCCATATCAGACTCTTCAGACTCTTTAGATATATTACCCTCTTCAGTAGGATTGGATTCCTTCAAATCCTTTGTATTCTCATCCTGATTAACATCCTTGAAAGGATGAACAATCATACTTCTACATTCATTAACTGCAGAAACAGATTCAACAGGTTCAGAACCAACTTCTTCTGTGTGTACACCTTTATCATCTGTTCAAAACATAAAATCCTGTTAAAAACTAAAATTTACATTTAAAACATACATAACAAATAATAACAGTAACTAGTAACCCTTGAATAATACACATGTATGACCTAGTAACCCCTATACAACATAGTAACCTCTATCAAAGATAATAACCAACACCTAATAACATCTATGACCTAGTAACCCCTATACAACATAGAAACACCTATTAAAGCTGGTAACCCCTAACCAAGTAAACTCTAACAAACCTACTAACACATAAAGTAACCCCTGACCAACCTAGAAACACCTCTGATTTGATAACCCCCATGACAAAGTAACCATTATCCAACCTAGTAACCCCTTTGACATAGTAACACCTAAACAAATAACCAATAACACTCATACTTCACAATCTAGTAACCCCTAAAACCTAGAAAAATCTAACCAACCTACAAACACTTTTGAGCACTTTCCAACCTAGTAACCCCTATTCAATCTAGTGACCAATATCCAACCTAGTTCCCTTATCAATTCTAATTACACCTAACAAAGTAACCCATCATTACTATATTATAACATACAAACTAGTAACCCCTATTCAAACTAGTAACCCCTAACAGACCTATTAATAATGACTTGGTAACTCCTATGACATAGTAACCACTATATAACCTAGTAACCCCTGAGAAATAGTAATTCCTAACCAAGTAACCCCTAACTCCTATGACATAGTAACCACTATATAACTTAGTAACCTCTGATAAATAGTAATTCCTAACCAAGTAACCCCTAACTAAATAACCTCTAACCAACATAGTAACAACTTTGACCTAGTAACCCCTATAATAGACTTATTAACCCCTTAACATAGTAACCCCTAACCAATCTAGTAACAACTTTGACCTGGTAACCCCTAACCATGTAACCCCTGACAAACTTACTAACACTATACAAATAACATAATGAGAAGTCAAGCACAAATATCCCTCAGTTTGACAAGAAGTCCACATATCACATGTCAAAGAAATACGACCAGAGACTTTACGAAGAGTTGCCTTTAACTTGGCCTTATAAATTTGATGCAATTTTAGACAGTCAGCTTTAGCAGTGTTTCTACTTTCTAGTAACCCTGGGCACCGTGCCGGGCCGTGCCGCCGCGGGCCGTGCCTGGCGGGCCACGGGTCGGTTCGTGCCGTGCCGATCGTGCCGCCGTGCCCAAAACCTCGTGCCGTGCCGTGCCGGCCATTTTCACAGGCCAGCCCACGGCACGGCACGGCCCTCGTGCCTGGCGGGCTCGTGCCGTGCCGTGCCACGTGCCGGCCTGCGGGCTGGCAGCAGGCTGGTGATTTTTTTTTTTTTTTTTTTTTTTTTTTTTTTTTTTTGACAACATTATAAATTAATAAGTTTATAATGTATATAAGTTATAAAATTATAATTACAAGTTTTATAAGGTTATAACTTATAAGTTTATAACTTATAAGTTATAAGTTATTAAGTTATGAATTTTATAATTATAAGTTGAATATTTATGTTTTGTAATTTGTATATTCAATATTTATATTTATATATTTACTTTATACTATTACTTTAAAATTTAATGTTTATGATTTATTAGTAATTGGTATAAAATTTTTTTTTTTTAATATGAATTTACAAATTGTAACAAAACGGGGAAAAAAGGCAAATTGGACTTTGGATGTGAATAATGCGTACTTTATATTATTATTACTTGAGTTGAGAAAATTGTACAATGATAACAATGATAAAAATCATACAATGATGGTATTAAACAAAAATTGGAAAATGATAAAATTGATATTTTTAAAATCGTACAATATACAATAATTGTCTATTCTTCTTCTCCTTCTTCTTGGTCGTCTTCGTCTTCGTCTTCGTCTTCGCCTTCGCCTTCGCCTTCGCCTTCAAGGTCATCGGCTAGTTGCATAGATTGGGAACTAGACGAACCCGAACCGGAAGCGGAGGTTCCTTCTTCGTTGTCGTTGTGGTCGTAAGAACGGTCTTGTGAGCGATTTTCCGCATCCAACCAATCTTTGAAACACACGCACATTTCTAGTGTTTCGGGTTTTAGACTTGTTCTTCTATCGTCTAAAACTCTTCCGGATGCGCTGAAAGCTCGTTCGGAGGCGACGGAGGAAACTTGGATAGCAAGAATGTCTCGTGCCATTGCCGCCAAAGTTGGATGCTTCGAGCTTTGTTGTTTCCACCATGCATGGAGGTCGATGTTGTTTATCTCATCGTCGTCCATGCCTTTGGTGAAGTCGTAACTCAGGTACATCTGCAACTCCGAGACGTCGCTTTGCGTTCTCCTGATTGATGATTCACCTGAAAACCTTGAAATCAAGTTAGTAGCTTGTGAAAATAAATGTTTGGCCTTCTTACTTACGTTTTTGGATGGTTGGGAAGGCCCTGAGCGAGGAACGGTGCCATATTTGGCTTCATAGACTCTATATAAAGCAAAAAACTGATCCTTCACATTAGTCTTATAGTTTTCTACATCATCGTCAAGAACCATGCATTGAAAGTAAATGTCAACTAACATAAATGTGTTTTCATACTTTTGCCTAGGATCTAATATGGAAGCAAAAATATAAATCAAAGGAATCTCACTATAATATTTACGCCACTTTTTTTCCATTGCTGGAAGATACTGATCATAATCACTTTGATGGCGATGATCAGCGAAAAGTTGGGCGAGTAAGCATGCATTAGAAAGAAAGTTTTGAGCACAAGGATTGTAAACAGTAGAAAAACAATACGTCATGTTATATAATAACTGTAAAAATTGCATATATCTTTCACAGTTATTCCAATCATCATCATACAAAGCATTTTGTGGAAATTTTTGGTTGTAAAATAATGTTAACGGGCCCTTGTACTCAATTGCCTTTGTTAACATGTCATAGGTGGAATTCCACCTAGTTGGGCAATCGGTTCTAATTTTTATTACCCTTATCTTTTGTTGTTTTAGAAAACTCTTCCATTCTTGGTATCTCATGTTAGAGCTATTAATAGACATAATAGCATCTCTGATTTTGCTGTAGTATGGGCCAATTGCCCGAACTCCATCCTGTACACATAAGTTAAGTACATGGCAAACACATCTAGTATGAAGAGCTTCACCGTCTAATAGTACATCGGTTAAGTTTTGTTTGATAAGATTAGCTGTGTATGTCATAGAGGTTGCATTATCAAAAGTCATAGACATCATTTTATCTCGAAGGTTGTATTCGTCTATTGCTTGCATTAAATGGTGAGCAATGTTAATGCCGGTGTGTGGGTATTCCAGCATTTTGAAATGTATTATTCTTTTTTGTAACATCCATTGATCATCTACCCAATGGCAAGTCACACATAAATAGTGATATTTATAACCACTATCCCAAGAATCGGCTGTTAAAGATACTCTACAGTTAAGGTTACTCAATTCGGCTTGTAACCGGACTTTGTACTCTAGGAAATTTTTCATTGCGGCGGAACGAACAATTTTCCTAGAGATTCTTTTATGTTGGGGTTGTAGTGCTTTGTTAATGTAGGTGTTGAATGCGTCACTTTCCGAGAAAAGAAAAGGTTGTTCGGCGTGTACTATCATTTTTCCTAGTTCATCCCTATCCCTCTCATAGTTGTATGTAAAGCCGTATGGATGGAATTGGGAAATTTTGGGCTGGGTTGGATCACTAGCTGGTTTTGCACAAGCTTTCATGTGTCTAGATAAGTGTCCCGTCCCGTTTTTGGTAACTGCCGTGAATACACTATTACATGTTTTACATTTTGCCCATTGTTCACCATCTTTACTTAGGACAAAATAACGCCATACCTCACTCCTTCGGTTTTTCAAAAGTAGCATCTCAGTTTCGGTTAACCATTCATGATGTGTGTGATGGTTAGTAGTGGGACTAGTGGGAGTGGCAGTAGAACCGGAGGGAATTCGGGTACTTTCTTGGCTACCTTGGCTAGAACAATAATTAGGTGGAAATTGGTATGGTGGTAGTGGAAATTGGTTTAGTGGTGGTGCTGGCTCATAGCCCGGGGGGAAGTAAATGGGGTCATTGGTTTGACTCGTAATTTGGGGGGTCGTTGTATTTGGTGGTTCCCTAGAACTACTACTACGGATAAGTCGGCCTTTCCCCCTAGACCTAGATGTTGGGTTGTTCGATGCCATAATTAACAATTAATTTTTTAATAAAAAGTGGTTAACTATAATAATAATAATTAATAACAACAATTTTAACAATAAAAATATCAATAATAATAATTAATAACAACAACTATAACAATAACAATAACAACAAAAATAAATAATAACAACAATTGTAACAATAATAATAATTAATAACAACAATTATAACAACAACAATAACAATTAACAACAATAATAATTAAACAAGATTATTCTAATAATAACAATAAAACAATAATAAATTTAAGATTAGTTTAGATCTTACAACCGTGCTTCAACGCTCCACTAATTACGATTACGAACTTTTTAATTTTTTCCGATATTAGGAAAATAATTAGAGAATTTAAGAGAATAATTAGAGAATTTAAGAAAATAAGGATTATTAGAGATTTAGAGAATATAAGAGATAAGAAGAAGAGATTGTGATTTTGTGATTTGGGAATGAAATGGAGGTGGGTATTTATAGAATTTTTAGGGAAAAATATAGCCGTTAAGTAGCCGTTTTTTTGGCTAATTATGCAACTAGCCGTTGCTTTAAAACGGTAACATTACCGTTGGCCTGCGGGCCGGCACGACGGGCCAGCACGGCGGGCCATGGCCGTGCTCGTGCCGGGCCGTGCCCAAGATTTCGTAACCCTGACCGTGGCACGGCCCGTGGCACGGCCGTTGAACTTCGGGCCGTGCCGTGCTTGACTTCGGGCCGTGCCGGGCTGCGTCGAATGTCGGGCCGTGCCGGGCGGCACGCGGGCCACCCCGGCCCGTGCCCAGGTTTACTTTCTAGTAATGAATTTCACATCAGCATTTAGATATGCATGAATATCTCTATTACCATCATGTTCAACCCAAGAAAAAGCATAACCATGTTTTATTATGGCTTTAGCTACCAACTCTCTATACACTTGTTGGTTAAAAATTTTACCTGTGGCTCCTCCTTTGTTTTTCAAGGAATTCTGATATGGGGTACATTTACTAAGATGCCTTTTCATATTGCCCGTACCATAACGTGAGTTGGCATTGAAAGATGAGCTTTGACAATGTTTGCAAATGCACCTTGATTTCCCATCTGTACATTCCACCATGTCAATCATGAGGAATTCCTTCCAAACCAAGCTCCGTCTCTTGTCTAAAACAGCAGAATTGGGCTCCGCAATGGTCACATCCTTCTCAAAAGTAGTAGATTCAGGAACTTCAGGTGAAACATGAGTGGCTTCTTCTTGTGATGAAAAAAAATCTGCTTCTGGCTCTTGTGGATCTGGTGTCATCACAGACTCTTCATACAAAATCCAATCCATAGCTGCAAACAAATTGGAAAATTAATAACAGTGCATAAATAAGGGGGAATTGATCATCATAATCATACAATCCACATCCCATCCAGAAACCAGACAAATTGGGTCTAATTATTAGTGTTTATATATATATATATATATAGTTATGTAGTAGTTATGTACAATGTACTTACCCTTCTCTTGTGGTTGTGGAAGCTCTGACTCTGTGAGGTTCAAAATTCCAGCATGGTATACACATGAAAAAAAGGATACATGCATTAGAAAGCAATTACAGATATGAACTCCTAAAAGGGGAAAAGATATTAAAGTAGGTAAATACCTAGTAGAGGATTAAATTTTAATTCAGACACATAAGGTCATAACCCATCCAATAAACATAATTTGAATACATAATTATAATGTCAATATAATTTCATGAGCTAATAAACTAAAACCCAAGAGACAACATTTGAATACATAATTAATTAAGAGAAGAATAATGAAACGAAAAGGGCATGCAAAACTAATACTCTGCAACAAAACTAAGAGAAGCTTGTTTCCCTTTAAACAAAACTAAAAGAAAATCAGTTTATCCCCATTAATCCATTACATGCAACCATTCAAATTCATTCCCCATTTTTTTAAGTTCTAACCAATTGAGCAAAATAATCAAAGAAATACACAATTACCTAACATTTCTCACTTGAGTTGAGAAGACGAAGAATAGAGTAGACGCTTGAGCGGTTGAGCAAATCCAGTGAGGACGGATAATTGAGATCTGAAGAGAAGATGGAGAATGGGTGAAAACTGAAAACGCCTGTTGATTTCTAGGGTTCTTGATTTTGTTCTACAAAAGGTCTTCTTACTTCTTTAGGAGAACTATGAATTTAGGAGACGAGAGTCAGACTCTAGTCTTTACTCTTTACTTCTTTAGTCACGTTTTTTGTTTATTTCTTTGTTTTTTTTTTTCTTTTTGTGTAAATATTAAAAAAGTTACTATTGAAGTAAAATAAGAGGGAAATTTCCCTCTATTTTTTCAACTAATTTTATTTTGGAGGGAAAATTTTCACTCTACTTTTTAATCGAGTATTAAGTAAATTGTTTGAATATGGTCTATGGCAGTATGGCACAAAAATTCCCTCCAAATTTTTCAAGTGTAAGTATGTAACTTTTTAAATATTGAATTTCACAAACAATTAATTAGGAGTGTAAATGAGCCGAGCCGAGCCGAGTACTACTTTGTTCATGTTCAGTTCATTTAACTTAGGCAAGTCCGAGCACGATCCCGAGCTTTCAAGCGAGCTCGAAAATCAGTTCAAGCTCGTCTCATTTAGTATAATGTATGTTTACGAACAGTTTATGAACAACTCATTTATTAAACGAGTTGATAAATGAGTGATTCATGAACAAGCTTAATAATAAACGAGCTTTTATAATAAACGAGCTTCATACTTTTGACCTTTGAAAATATCAGAATTAGTATAATGATTAAATTTTAATCATACCGTATAAACTTAAGAATTAAATTAGCAAATGTGAATAAATCAATAATTCATGAACATAAATAAACCAGTAATTCGTGAAAATAAATAAACGAGTTTTTCATGAACATATCTGAACGAGCATATCTATGTTCGTCTCCAACCTCATTTATTAAACGAGCTTCAAAATTTGTTCAAACTCGGCTCATTGATTAAATAAACGAACATGAACGAGCTTCAACCAAGCTTGTACCTGAGTAGTTTATTGTTTGGCTTGGTTCATTTACACCCATACAATTAACGATCTTATTCCTAAACTATATCCAAATATCTCACGATATATAATTTTGAATAACCTTCAGGTGCTCCGCGCGTTTGATCATATAATTGTCATAACGTCCTCTCATTGGATCTTATTGTATCATATTAACAATGAGTTATACATGAAAGCACCCATATTATTTAACAATTACCTTACTCTAATTGAAATTTCTCATTAAAAAAAAAGTTGAACAATCTATAATTATATCATAGTAGGATACGGTCTGAGACGTGTCGTCGTGTAGACGTGTATCTCACGAACAGTCTAACATAGTGTTTGACACGAACACAACTATTGGATGAAGTGTCCATGTATCCTAGTATACTACAGGACAATAACGTTATAACTTAGAAGTAGTATTTATACTATATTAGTATAGTACTATAGTAACTATCGCCCATGAATTTGTTACGAAGTAATTCCTCCGTTTCAATTTACTTGACTCATAGTTCTATGGCATGCAATTTAAGGAGTTAATTAAAGAAGACAAACGATATTTTTAATACAAAAAAAAAAATAAAACTGCCAATAAAAGGGATGAATTAGGGTTTCACAGTATTAATTATTTTTTATTTATCTTATGTTAATCTTCTTTAATCTCTTCCTTAAATTGCGTGCCAAAGGACTATAGGTCAAGTACATAGAAACGGAGGAAGTATATTAGTTTAGTTGTACGTGTAATACTTGCAATATTGTCAATATATACCGATATGCGTATTAAATGAAATAATTGAGTAATGACCAGTAACTCAATAATCAATAACTATATACTAAAAGACACACTAGCAATAACACGTGTCATCTCCTAGTGTGTCCTTAGTTTTTTTTTTTTATAAAAAAATAATATTGTATTTCGGAAATAAATCTAATACTATGTACATAAATAAAAGATAACAATTTTTTACATAAATAAAATATATCAAATGTATATATAATAACATAAATAAAAGATTTAATGTATTTTTCATAATATGTATATATTGACAACTATATTTATCATTTTTTTTAACAAAATGTGTCGTATGGAGTGTTTTTTTTTTTTTTTTTGACAACCACAAACTAAAGAAAAACACTAAATAGAAAAGCTTAATAAATCTACTCTACATCTAGTAGCAATGTCATGTGCCTCAGCCACCTGATCCCTGCTAACTTTCCAGATTAGACAAGTTTGAAACAGTTGCCCTTCCTGCAATAAGTCTTGAATTGTCCATAGTAGACGCAATTCCCTTCTTCTCGGATGTTTGATCAGTTGAACTGTCGCAAGAGAATCAGTGAACAATACAATTCGTCGTTTTCCTTTCATTCGGGTCCACCTTAGAGCAGCCACACAAGCTAAAAGCTCGGCATGTAGAGGGGAAAGGGCCCTTCCATAATCCCCACCACCTGTACTAAAAGCTTGGTTATTCACTGAGTAAGCCCATCCCGCCCCTGCATTCCCATCTCTCTTGCTCCAGGAGCCATCCACCTTGATAACCATTTCTATCCTTGAATCTGTAGGGGTACTAATGTCATCCGTAGCACATCCTATGTTGACCCGCTCAAACCCCGGTGGGAAATTATGAGCCAATGTCTCTTTCCCTCTTATGACATCTCCTCCCTCTAATTTGCGCCAAACTGAGAGTTCTTTCATTGCCAGATTGTAATTCCTAAACAAATCTACCAGATAACCTCCTTCATTTCGAAAGATTCTTCCATTTCTTGTTAACCAGAGGCTCCAAAGTACCCCAATAAACGTTGGTACATGGTCACTCTTCTTTCCATCCTCGCTATGAAAAAGCAGGATATAATGTTGAATCCAGTGTCTCAGAGGAGTAGATTCATCAATTTCTGAGGAGATATGCAAAGGGCAATTATGCCAAGCATACCTCGCAAAAGAGCACATCCTAAAAAGATGCTGAAGGTCTTCATTTTACATACCACAAGAGTCACAATGATCAGCTATATCAATTCCCCTCCGGGCTAAATTACCCTTAACCGCCAATCCATTCATCACCAGCTTCCACAGGAACAAACTCCATTTCGGTGGGATGTTTAGCTTCCAGATTAGTCGGTAGAAGCTATGCTCCAGACTAGCATCTTGTTGCCCTGATAACTCATTCATTAGAAAAGCATAACCTGTTTTCACAGTATAAACTCCTGAAGCATGGCTACCCCAGTATAGTCTATCCGTCTCCTCAGTTGAAGGTAGCTCCATTTCCAAAATCTTCTGCGCTGTGCTCCATTCAAACTTTTGTCTTATCAATGCTACATTCCAAGATTTAGTATCACGGGATATTAAATCTTTCACTCTCTCCAAGCCCACCCCCCTCAGGGGTTGATCAGAATTGAAAACCGGAACTGAACCTTGCACCCATCTCATATTTGCGACTTTCACTCTATCCCCATTCCCGATCTTCCAATTATAGCCCTTTACAACCTTATTTGCCACATTAAATAAACCACACCTACCCCACGAAGCACCACCCTTAAGATCCATCCTAGACTCCCCCGTACACAAGGAACAACTATGAGTAGGCTCCATAGATCTAGCCACTAATAACTGTGGGTTGCAGTGCATTCGTGCTACCTGTTTGAACAGAAGAGCGTCATTCAAATAGGACATAGATCTTATACCAAGACCACCCATACCCTTCGGTCTTTGAATAATCCTTTTCTTTACCCAGTACATGCCCTTCTCTCCCTTATTTCCCCACCAGAAACGAGTAATTAGAGAGTCTATCCTATTTGTGACCGCAACTGGTAACTTAAAGCACTTCATCACGTGTGCGGAAATGCTAATCAGCACAGTGTTAATCAGAATTAGTTTCACTGATTGTGACAAATTCAGAGCTGCCCAAGAGAGGGTTCTAGTAGCCACCTTATCAATCAAATATTTAAAAGCATCCAACTTCCTAGCCGTAAAATCAATGGGGGCCCCCAAATGTTTTTCCATCACAGAGACCTGACCTACCTTCAAAATCCCTTTTAGAACATCCACCTCCTCCAATTGAGCATGTTTACTAAACTTTACGAAAGATTTGTTCAAGTTCAGCTGTTGCCCTGAGATCTCACCAAACTTAGACAAAATATCTATCACATGATGACAAGAGGTAGGAGTTGCATGTAAGAATAACATTGCATCATCTGCGAAAAAAAGATGTGTAATCGAAGGAGAGCGCCTCGTGACCCTGAGTCCCTTGATTTTCTTGATGTGCTCAGCCATAGTAAGCATACGAGATAAAATATCCATACAAAAGAGAAAGAGGTAGGGTGAAAGGGGATCACCTTGCCTCAAGCCACAATCCGGTTTAAACATTTCCGAAATCTGGCCATTGATGAGAGTCTTATAAGAAACCGTTGAGATGCACTGTGAAATCCACTGAATCCACTTTTCTGGAAACCCATAAGCCTTTAGAATTCTCAGAAGGAAAGTCAAATTCACCCGATCATAAGCCTTGGACATATCCAATTTAATCACCATTTTTGTGGACTCACCGTCACTAGTGTTAACCAAATGAAGCAATTCATGGCTCAGCATTACATTATCCTCAATATATCTTCTCGGAACAAAAGCATGTTGAAACTCCGAAATCAGGTTTGGTAATAGGTGCTTCATTCTATTTACCAAGCATTTAGCTATGCATTTATAGATAGTATTGCATAAAATAATAGGCCTGAACTGTGTTGGTAATTCCGGGTACTCCACTTTTGGAATCATAACAAGAATGGAAGCGTTAAGTTCCTTTAGTAGATAGCCTGTGGAAAAGAAAGATTGAACCAATTCAACCACCGAGGACCCAACCTTCTCCCAATTTTGGTGGAAGAATTCCGCAATTTATCCATCCGGACCTGGCGCCTTAAGATTGTGAATAGAGAACATCGCCTTCCTGATCTCTTGGTGTGAAAAAGGCTTGACTAAAGAAGCCGCATCCGTTGAATCTATAGGAGGTAACTCCAACTCTCTTAACACCAAGCCAATGTTATCATTCATTATTTCCTCAACTACCATCGGCGGGTTATAAACTTCTTTCAAGCTATTTATAATGAGAGCTTCCAAATTATTCTGACCTTGAATCCACTCATCCTCATTCGTTCTAAGGGTAATGATCTCCCTCCTTTTCTGTCGGTGCTTCACCCTACCATACATCATCTTTGATGAAATGTCGCCCTCCTTTATCCATTTATCCTTCATTCGTTGTTGCCAATACCTAAACTCTAGACTACTATGAATGATCGTGTCGTTAATTGCCTCCACATACCTACTTCCTTGATCCAAAGTAGTCACCTTCTCACCCTGCACTGACAAATCTGCAGAAAACTTCCTCCAATTTATCCCCCACACTTTTTTGTTGTCTAGGCACCACCTTTTGATTTTATTACGCAGCCATTTCGACCTTTGCAGAAATTTGTACATAACTGAACCCGTACAATGAGTACTCCACACCTCATCTATGAAGCCCTTAATTTCCGGAAAAACTAAGCACCAAGTCTCAATTTGGTAAGGCCTATTAGACTTTGTCACTTGGTTGTTAGTGTCATATATAATCGCCGCATGATCCGAGACCGTAATTGGTTCATGGACAACCCGTCCATCCGGAAAATCATTGAACCATTGTGATGAAGAGTAGGCTCTATCCAATCTTTCCATAATCAAATCCACCCCCAATCTCTTATTTGACCAAGTGTATCGGGGTCCCGAGAAAGGTACTTCTAATAAATTAGTTTGGAATCTCCAATCCAAAAATACATCCAACCCCTTAATTAAAGAAGCACCCCCCAATTTGTCACTATAGTATTCAAGTTGATTAATATCTCCCATCACCAAGACATTAGGAATAGTAGCAATAAGAGTTGAAATTTCCTCCCAAACACTAGCTCTATCTTCAACTTTCGAAGCCCCATACAAAAACAAAATGTGCCTACTACTTCCACTAATGTCACCAACATTACAAAAGATAAAATTTGGGGAAGAAGCTACACAAAAAACATCCCCCAAATACCAACTAAACAACGCTAACCCCCCTTTTGTACCAACCGAGTCTACTCCACAAGAAAAGTTAGGAGTAAACTTAGAAACTAACTTACTAACATCACTAAACATCATTTTAGTTTCGGAAATAAACATAAAAGTAGGCAATTTAGTAGCTAATAACCACACTAAATAAGGATGTGTAGGCGAGAGTGTGTCATTTAATCCCCTACAATTCCAAGTAACAACCTTCATGGCCCCGTGGGTGGCTGTCTCGGTGTAGCCACCACATCACCAATGTCACCTACAAATTCACCATCTTCCATAGCCATGTCCATCTCCATGTCACTGTCAAACTCATGCAAGTTTGAGGTTACTTCTTTGCTTCTTTGCTGGACTCGAATGCGGTGAAGAAGAACTAGAGCTTCGCCTTTTCTTGCCCAAATTACCAAAAAGAGGATCCTTAATTCGAACATCCCACTGCCTTGCCATATCGACATCTGAAATTGCCTTTGATTTAAACTCAAAGAACCCATCTTCATCCTTATGCCATATATTGAAACCTCCTTTATCCGCCCAACGGTTCAAGGTCTTCAATCTCTTCCTATCCACTCATCCTGAATCATAAGAGGCCTCCCTCACCAAGTCATCATCGCACGACTTTGAGGGGACCCGATCAATTGTTCGTGTTCTTTTTCGGGTCACAGCAGCTACTTCAATGCGTGCTTCTCTTTGATCAGTTGGCGTGACTGGTGAATTTGGCGGATCATACTCAACCATTGGCAAGTTTGGCATGTTGGAAGGGAAGGTATTTGGTGAGTACGGTAAGAAGGGGGATCTTGGTGAAGGATAAATCCTCCTAGTCGTATCCCTATAAGCCGCCATAGTTCGAATAAAAGATCTTTCAGCTTCAACAAAATTTAAGTGGTTAGATTCCAAAAAAAACTCATAGTTATCAGAATTTACCCCCTCATTGAAGCTCTCATTTTCCAATAGGAATATCCTCAGGTTCTTGCGGCCGTGTCAAATTAACCGCCCAATTTCGATACCTAAACACATCAGGCAAACCTCGAACAAAATTAGTGTAATATGGATAATCTAAGGGGCCGTGAAGCACCCTCAGACCATCTCTTTCAACTGCCTCTAAACGCCTCATCAAGCGTCTAGTTGCAACCTCTCTTCGCAAATTGCAATTACTAGTGCTATGACCAACACAACCACACGTTTTACAGAAACGGAAAACGCCCTCATACCTGAAATAAACCCAAATAACACGTTCACCTTGAACTGGTACGAAGCAGCCTGGAATTAGTGGTTGCGTGACATCAACAATCATGCATGCGCGTAATTCCGCTCTCTCCGGCAGCCTACCATTCGTTATTGGCTCTAGAGAATCCAAATAGCCAACATGGACAAAGATACGCCTCGCCCAAGCTTCCGTGAGAAACTGGAGAGGTAAACCATAAACACGAACCCATAACCTTGCCGTAGAGAAATTGATTTGTTGTGGAATTAAATTCGCACCATATCTCCTCAGATTAATAATACGACCATCAAAGACAGTAGAATATTGTCTAAGCAAACCCTCCAAATCGCTCTGAACTAAGCACTCGAACAAGAAATAATCTCCTGTTCTATGAACACGGACATGCCCCCTAGACACCCATCTTTGATTGATTATGTGTTGAACGTAGGTAGCAGATGGTGGGTTTGGACCCACAAAAACTCCAATTACAGAATTATTGAAGTTAATGTGTGATAAAGCATTATAATTTGGTGGTGGGGTAACAAGGATTCCCATTCTATGGGATCTAAGTCGGTTAAAATGAGGAAGGTCGCTTTCATTATTATGAGGATAATTTGTAAATAACCACCCAAAAATAGTATCAATTTCTAAACAACCACCCAATTAAAATTTTATTTTAAATTACCACCCATTAAATTAAAAAAACGCTCAGATTACCACCCATTTTGTTTTTCCGGTGGAATTTCCGTCAGTGGGCCCCACTTTTTTTATTTTTTTCCTTTTTTTCTTCTATTTTCTGGCTTTCTCACTCTCTCTCCCCGATTTTTCACTCTTCTTCTTCCTACCTTCTTTCTTTCTTTTCCCAACCACCACCACCACCATTGCTCCACCTTTCCCCTCCTCTTCCCCCGTCGCACCTGCCAACAACCCGCAACAACAACATCAACAAACAACCACCAGTTCAGCCACCATAATTACCACCAGTTCGCCTACCGCAAACACCAATACGACAACCTCTGCAGCCCGCAATCACCAATTGGCCCTACTGTAAAGAGCAATTCGGCAGCCAATTACTCCAATTCCAGGATTTAATTGCAGCAATTTGGCAAAGAACATCTTCAATTCGATTTAGGGTTCATGCTTCAATTGAATTGGGGGTTTTCTTAAATTAGGGTTCCTATTTTAAGAAAACCCCCAATTCAATTGAAGAAAACCCACAAACCGCAAGGTGCTAGTGCTGGTCGCGGTGACAGCGGTTGTGGGTGGCTGGAGAAGTGGAGGAGCTGCGGTGGAGTCGGGGGTGTTTATTGTGGTGGTTAGTTGAAGGTGAAAGTAGGCAGGGGTTATTGTTTCTTATTGCTTTGCAATGTTATTTAATTATGTTCATTTTCCTGTGGATCTCAGTGCTGGGCTAGTTGATTCATTACTTGCATATGTATACCTTTGTCTCTTTCTTTGTTAATTGTGATTGTTGTTTGCTAAATCATGACATGACCCTTGTCTCCATAAAGTCTCGACCTTATTCGTTGCTCTCCTGTTGTTGTATTCCTTGTGTGCATTGTACTGATGATTAATTTGCTGGCGGTTTGTGGTTGGGAAGAAGAAAGAAAGAAGGTAGGAAGAAGAAGAGTGAAAAATCGGGGAGAGAGAGTGAGAAAGCTAGAAAATAGAAGAAAAAAAAGGAAAAAAATAAAAAAAAGTGGGGCCCATTGACGGAAATTCCACCAGAAAAACAAAATGGGTGGTAATCTGAGCGTTTTTTTAATTTAATGGGTGGTAATTTAAAATAAAATTTTAATTGGGTGGTTATTTAGAAATTGATACTATTTTTGGGTGGTAATTTGCAAATTATCCTTATTATGAGGGTCATTTGGATTTTGGTTCACCATACTTCCACAAAACAGGAGTATAGACAGTGAAAGAAGAGGATAGAAGGAGAATAAGAATTAGAGAAAGTGATGGATGAGAGAAACAATTAATGAACTCGTTTATATAGCAGCAAAGTTCAGTTGACAGAAAAAAAGCTACTACTGCATGTTGAACAAATGGCAAGAAAAGCAACCAAAATTAATTGCTTCTTGTAGTTTCCAAGTGATGCACCGGTGATGGGCTCAAGGAGAAAGAGTGCAAAAACTCCCTCACACTGATTGGTTCAATTGAAGAGCAAAGATTTGAAGCTTGCAACCATTGGTGGAACACAAATATGGGGAGATTACAGGATTTCCTACTGAATTGCTGTGAAGATATTAGGCGTGTGTTTGCATGCTACAGTTCCCAAGAACAAGAAAAGTGTTCAAACTTTTGAATGGTGCAAAAGGAAGCTAAAAGGTTAAAGGAGGAGACTCACAATCTTAGTGAGAGAGGCTCTCGTTTTAGAGAGAGAGTACACAATATTTAGATAGTATTGTGGAGCATGTCGTATGGAGTGTTATGTACTACAATTATTACAACGAGGATTTTTATTGTTTTGAATTTTTTTTATTTGATTATTTTAGACAAAATTATGTTATATAATTAAATGTGATGTTAATATAAGAATTGTTATTACAAAGTATTGTGCATGACACGGGACCTAACCTAGTAAACAAATAATGTAATTTTGGCTTGTTTGAGACCACAAGTCATAACAATAATTTTGTAATAAAATGAATCATTTTATAACAAATATTCAAATCTGTTACAAAAAGATCACGAACACGCTCACTCATATACCACGTATTACTCAAATAGACTATTGGTGAATAAGTAAAATAACTAGTAATAGTAATTAAGGAAAAATGATTTAGATAACTCTTCATATTTTATATATTGGAAGAATAATAGTATTATCCTATAATTTTAGATTATAATTCTTATAATCTTATATAATCAAATAATCAATACATGACTACATGTATTTTGTATAACCTTATCGGAATTGTTGATCATAAAAACATATTTGAGAAGATAAAATAATATCATTATTATTTATTTATGATTGGATTTAAAAACTCATCTGACCCGAAATTGACCCGACATTTGAACCTGAAAGGTGACATGACCTGAAGTGACCCAACCCGAAATGACCCAACCCGAACTTAACCCGACTCGAACTTGGCCCGACTCGAACTTGACCCGACAACTTGACCTGATAATTGACCCGATCCGAATTGACCCAACCCGAATTGACCCGACCCGAAATCGACCCGACCTGAAATTGACCTGACCCGAACTCGACCCGAAGCGTTGACTCGACTTTGACCCGAAACCCGAATTGACCCGACCCGAATCCAACCCGAACATTTCTTGACCCGAATTTGACCCGACCCGAATGACCTGTTTGCCAGGTCTAATTAGAGGTGACATTAATAAGATGGTGTAATAAATATTATTGATTAATAATAAAAAGGCAAAAGCAAATGAACACCATTAACTAAAAGTTAAAATATTAAATAAAAATAAACATTAATTACACCGATTGACGCTTGACTTTGGCATTCATTCCTATATTAATACCACTTTAGAACATATATTAAATGATTATCTAACGCCCCGAGGCAAAAGCAAATGAACACCATTAACTAAAAGTTAAAATATTAAATAAAAATAAACATTAATTACACCGATTGACGCGTGGCTTTGGCATTCATTCCTAAATTAATACCACTTTAGAACATATATTAAATGATTATCTAACGCCCCGAGAGCGTTCGTTAGCAAGATCCTAATAAAAACTCAACATTTTAGCTTTACGCATTCATAAAAAAGTCTGTCAAACCCCTCAGTATTACTGTTATCCTTAAGGGATCTACCGTCATGCAGTTTCAACTAGAGCACAAGGCCTAATGAACAAAACCCTTACGATGATACATAGTATCATATATTATTAATACAGAGTATAATATAAGACCAAAATCGTACAAATCTGAGTTCAAGAACATATGTGATCACTGTAATGTGTGAAAATATATCCAATAGTCTTTATTTCCTACTCGTCGATTCAAACTGGAGATCAATTTCTGATTTTGGTTGCACCAAACAGACCTTTTAAGAAAAAAAAACAGGTAAGTATCAACGACAAGTTTCATGAGGATGCAACAAACTCATCAGCACATAGAAACTCAAATTCGCCAGGTTATTTTCTTTGGAACACGAACGCGATGTGATTCATTAGCACTCTTGACAGTCTTGAGCAGCCGTCTTACTTCAAGTTGCTTCCACTGCTCTAGGTATCGTCTCTCAGCTGGTGTGAGCCGCTCATCATAGTTAGCGGAAATTTCATTCCCACCATCCACATTTTTTTCAGTAGTCATCTCCACAAGATCTGTCAAAATTACCATTTGTTTCCAGCTTCAGCCCATTTATGCAAAACACAGCAATAGCAGTGATGCTAATCCAGTTGAAAAAACACGGTAGACCACAGACAACAAGCAAGCATACATCAAATAACAGGTAAATAAGTCCTGCATTCCTAATTAAATTAGGAAATACGTTGAACTTAATTAGCTTAAACAAGATTTTGAGCAAAGGGTTTATAGAATCAAAGTTATAAGTAGAAAATTTTAATTTAAAAGTCTCCCCGATTGACATTTTAAGGAACTCGCACTAATTGCACAACTTTGTTCCAGCAACACGGTTATCCCTTTAAGTAGACTAAATGTTCCCCCGTTGACATTTAAAAGTCTCCCCCATTGAAATTTTAAGGAATTCGCACACCCCCCCCCCCCTCTCTCTCTCTTCTTTCTTTTTTTCTTTTCACCTGGTTTCCTTTGCTCTGTATTGTCCCTTTTTTCCTTTGTCATAATCTTCTTTCATTTAGTATGTTACCTTTATACTAATTTATTTTGTGATTATCAATGGACATGTGAGCTCACATAAATCTTAAATATCAAAAAACTCCATCCTTTTTGTAGATTAAATCCAATTACAGAAAGAGAAAAAGACAATCGAAGACTTACATCATAAGCCTTAGAAATCAACTTTAAATTTAGCTCCAGTTTCCTTGAGGCGTTTCTCACCCAGCTTGCATAGCCTGAAACAACCAGTATATGGTAAATTTGTCATCTTAAAAATAATAAAATGTACAGAGAACAGTAAGATATTGTTCTATAAATTAATAAGCTATTGCCAAGCAAACCCAATGGAAACCTCTTATATTGAATAAGCAACTACTAAAAATAAAATAATAGCCCCAACCCTGCCTCCCCAAGCATTATATAAACACCGGAGTTACCTTAACCCTTCAACTTATATGTTTACTAAGGCTAATACTTTATATCCAATTGTTGCTAATTATCAAGCGTTAGCAATTGCGAAAGACATGATCTTTAAAAATGGGCATATAATGTATAGAATTTCCACAAACAGTGTTGGTGCTATTTTCACCATCTTTTTTTTCTTCTCATTTTTAATAAAGTCAAAAGTTGCTGAATTAAGTTGAACAATTCATAAAGTCGAACAAACTATTGCCTAAAGAAAATGTAAGGAGGAATTTATCTACAAAGTATTAACACAATGCAGGGTTACCATGTGATCTGTCTCTGTATAATTTTTCAAACATGAAGATTCCTCAATAATACTGCAAACTTGCTATTTCAAACATTACTCATTAGACATTTGGTTTTCCCGAATAAACATCTATACGATAAGAAATTCAATAAATAATATATATGCGATATAATCTCTTTTCCTCATAAATTATAAGTGGCAAATTTGCGATACAGTTGAGTTGCGACAAATTAGGAAGAGCTTACTCTTGCAAGAACAGAACAAGTCTTCGTCAAAAAACCAATGTAATTTCCATCCCATACAAAAGAAAAGAAAAATAAATCAAAAGCATGCTTAATTTATAACTTAAAGTAGGAAATTAAACAAAACTAAGACCTTATACAGTTGTGTCAATTAACTATCAATAAAGTCCAGATACGTGGATATTAATTCAAGCATATTCCGTAAAGGGTAAGGAATGAGTCACAATACTCCCTTCACTCCTGTAAATGAATCAGACCTCATATCAGCTATATTATCAAATAATAAAATATAGACGAAGTGTGTCACAATACTGTTAGCAGACCTCTTCTCATAAAAGATGGTGAGTTAATTGAAAATCAGAAAGTGTATTTAGATTCTAACTCTAGCTTAACATTGAGCACTGTCGCAAAATCTCAACTTCAGAAATGAGCAACAATGATAAAATGGTTTGCTCAAGTTCAATCAATTCAGATTAAAAAACCAACAAAGTAAATCTAAATACATTTCTTGAGAGGTATTCAAAATCTATCAAACTCCATCACATGATTCACATCAACAATAAAAAAAAATGAGCAATACATAATTCTGAAGTTCGGACTATACAAAAATCAAACCAAATGAAAAACTTGGTCAAAATTAATAATTTAAACGAAAAGCAAATTGCAAAAGATAGAAAAAGAGAGAATGTGAAAAAATCTAGAACTTAGAAATGCTAACCATTTAAACATCTAATTTTTAGTATAGATCACAAAATGAACTGCTAAACTCGAGATATGAAAAGGTGCTTAAGAACGAAACAAAGTATCCCTGAATAGAGGACAAGATATCCAAATCTAGAGCACTCCATGATGAACAAATTGCAGTCAATAACTGATGATAACAACTAACCTCTCTCTCCACCCATGAAGAGCTTCCAGAAGAGGTATTGGGTGTATGTTGAGCCACCATAGCAAGGGGATCAAGTACTTGGTCATAGGCTGGATCAGATGGACTACAGTATTGTCCATCCTGCAAAATTTCAGCCCAAAACAATCACTAATTAGCAGCATATCACGTTTTACACCTTCCATTCAATATATAGACGACATTTGGATTTTTGAGCAAGGTAAGACCATTAATTTGAAGAAAATTGAACCACACGGAAATCAAACAGTTAGATGTTTGAGCAAAGTAAGACCATTAATTTGATTCTAGCTTTCTTATGAATTCCTCTTTGGATTTGGATCCTTGCCTCGATTTATGAAGCTGGTGCATTGTGTTGAGGGCACAGTTGGGAGTGTTGAAGCTCACTTGTATCAATCTGCCTTTTTGCTGGGGCAAGTTCTTCAGTGAGCTCAAAGACTCACCCAAGTCATGCTCTGATGGGCAAATTTGTACAAACAATATTGTCTTAAAATCACCTCCTGCAAAATACACAAGAGTAGAAAGCAATATGTGAATTCAGAAAAATAAGTATCTATTCTTGGAAATTAAAATTAAAGGGATATGATTTCTACCTAATGAGTCATGCAGCAGATGTGTGAGTTTGGAATTCCTGACAGCATGTTGTGAACAAAGGTCAGAAAATGAGCTCGTGCTGTGTAGCCGTGAAATATACAAGATGATCAAAAATACTGACCTGTACTCCTTCTCAAATTATCTTCCCGTGAGTGATCGTAGCTCTTTTCATTAGCATTAGCTGTTTGCTTGCTTGGGCTTTGAGGTAATCCAGCATGATTTATGTCTGAGGTTTCAACAACATCTTTTAAAGAAAGAGCTATAGCCTGCAGTGCAGATATATACCAGAATAAGAAGAGTATTTACAACAAGTACAAAGCATTTTAATTTTCATTTTAAGTCAGTCCATAATCCTTCTAAATTCAACTTTGGGCATGAATACATGATCTTACATGTCACCCTATAATCAAAGTTTAGGCCATGAAAAGTGTGAACTGCAGAACGAGCATGAGAAGTGAATTTTTCATTTTTTTGGCATGGGGCTGAAGGGTGTTCGAATAAGAGGTATTCATTAAGATGAGGAAAGGAATGGAGACATACCACAAGAGGTAGGGTCAAGAAGCTCCAAATCGGCCACAAAGCCCAGGTGAATCTGCAAAATTTCAAGTTTAAGCACGCACATATTCAAGAGTGATTTCACGAATACGTCAGAATTATGGTTGGCACTCACAGGCAAACGGAAGTTAGGCCCAGAAGGGTAACCAATGGCAAGGCAGATGCACCAAGTATCTCCCAGTTTTCATTCGATTTTCTAACACCTGATGTTGACATGCTCGTATAAACGAAATAAGCAGCACTCAAAAGAACACCTCCAAATCCTAGGTACAATTGTATCCTGCAGGTTAAGAAGCAAAATGACTATCAAGTTGGACAAAATATAGACGATGTGTGCAACAAGTATTGCACAACCACAGTACCATGCCAGTATTGCCTTTGAAAGTCAACATAAGAATAATAAGTAGGTATTAAGTTCCAGAATAATTTAAGGCCATCATAATACAGACAAAGATGACTCAATCAAACGAAAAAACATATGCATAACAGAAATAAATATGCCAAAACAGTTGAAAAAGAATGTTTCATATAACCAACTTAATACATTATAAATGAGCTCTCAGAAACCGATATAATATTATACAAAGTATCTAACTGCTTAGAGAAACTAATACAACACAGGGGAAAACAAGGTGAAGGATCGATGAAACATATCTACCTTCTACAGAACATCAATACTGGCTATAAATTGTTGTCAATACAGGACATGACAAATTGACAATGGATGAAGTATTCATAACAGACTGGAACCTAATGGTGGGGTATGGATGGTGGCTGCAGTGGGTTGGTTATTAAACCCTCTTGATTGTTCATGGGTCCACAGTATTTGATTGTTTTCCTTGGTATCTGACTATCTGTAAGAAATGTGAGAAACGGAATGTACAAGGGAGACAGGTAGTATATGAAAAGGAAAAGGAAGTACTGTACGTTTTTCCTGTTTTTTTTTTTTTTTCTTTTTTCCTTTTTTTCGAACTTACGTTTCTATAATGCTGGATTTCAGGATGATGTGCAAGGAGATGGCCATTCTTTTCACTCCGGAGATGACAATTTTGACAATTTTAATGAAGAAACAGAGGTAATAATCTACTCTTCTTATAATGTTTGATTTTGTATTTCCACTTATATACTTTAAGAAAATATTATCACTTGTTAAGTTTCAAGTACTTTGACTATTTTTAATGTTATGTTTTCAGTCTACTTCTACTAGGGGAAGGGGAGGAGGAAGAGATGGGATACCACTGCGACAGCCCCAGGTGCTAGGAGATGACAATGCTGTTCACGCTGAAGAAGAAACAGAGGTAATAATCCACTCTTCTGATAATGTTTGATTGTGTATTTCCACTTATATACTTTAAGAAAATATTATCACTTGTTAAGTTTCAAGTACTTCGACTATTTTTAATGTTATGTTTTCAGTTTACTTCTACTAGGGGAAGGGGAAGAGGAAGAGATGGGATACCACCGCGACAGCCCCAGGTGCTAGGAGATGACAATCTTGTTCACTCTGAAGACGAAACAGAGGTAATAATCCACTCTTCAGATGGCTTAAGGTGAGCTTTACATTGATTTATACTACAATTCTAGAAAAAAAAGGTTTGCAGCAACAAAGCTTCACTACTTAGTTTGACCGCTTATGCTTGAAAACAGTTTCAAGCTCAGATGGTACCATGACCGTGGGTATCCTTTCTATGAATTATCCAAATCAGAAAAGAACACTAAAAAACCTCATAAATGGTCACACCTTTAAAAGCAATTTGTAAAATTTAAATGAAATAAAAGAAGCCAAAAGTTATTTGGCTTTTCCCAAACCTAGCACAAGTGGAGGATACATTGGAACAGATAAGATTAACAATAAGTCTATGAGAAAGAGAAAATTATGATCATTAGAAATATTAATCTCACACAAATAAATTAGGACAACATCTATTAGACGATCTATTACAATAACTTGCAAAGCTAAGAAAGTGTATTTTATAGCGCTAAGACAACTGATAGCATATAATAAACTGTACAGGTACCAATGCATAAGAGTGATTACAAGAACTACCTTATAATTAATGGATTGGATGATGTCAGTTCTTCACGTAGCACAATTGTGTTGCTGTAATCATCTGAGGGCAAAAACAAAACCAAATCAGCATAGAAAATGATAAAGTGATACTAAATCACTAATTAACCATGAAATTTTTGTATAGAAAATTTCAGCTCAATTAATGGCTTGAGATTACTTCCTAGTTGATGTTTATCATTTGTTATAGTTGATATGTATCATTTTCCATACTTGCTATTTGAACTTGTGTTTGTTTGTACATTTACTTGTTCATGCTTTCATGTCAAATTCCAGAGCATATATATGTATTACGGTCCATGATTCTAGTATATAATATGATTCAATAATGTCATGAGATGAAAATTGAATAATATATACTGAAAAAATAATGGAGAAGTTTAGAAAGAGACCCAACCTCTCTATATGTCTCTCTGTCCCAAAGAACACAGTAATTTCTACAAACTTAGAGGAGTTAGAGATATGTCTTATATTGTGAATTTGTAGGGCAACAGTACAATACCCAAAGTAAGGGGAAAAGGAAAAAGACAAGGGTCCTCTCCTTTAGGGAAGGAAAAAAGACATCATGGCATGGTCTAAGTGTCTAACCACTCCAACCCCTTCCCTCTTTTCAACTACAGAGTACCTTTTTCTTCCTAATCTAATTAGAAAACCCAAATCCTCATCTCTGTTTGTCATTAATATATTATTATCAGAAAATTTCTAAGACCACAAATGCTCTACTGACATTGTCAATCACAATCCTCATCTATGTTATTTGCAAATATTTATTAGAAAATTCTTAAAACCTATATACTTTAAGAAAATATTATCACTTGTTTTCTTGTTAACTCTTTACATATCTATTAGAACATTATTGGGAGTATTAGATATGTTAGTTATAGCTTTGTTATTTGAATGTTATTTGATTTTATGTTATGTATTAAGTCCACTAGGGGAAGAGGAAGAGATGGGATACAATCGCAACAGCCCGGGCAGCCGCTGACCAGAGCAAGAAGCTCCCCTCGATTTCAGGAGGGGGTGCAGACGGGGGTTTCGGAGATGATGATGATAGAGATGTCTCACTTCCTTCGAGAGAAGTAAGACAGGTACGGGTACGGGTATCCGATGTCTCTCCGATGAGCTTTCTTTCCCTTATGTCCCTTTTATGTTGTTACTTCTTAGGTGTCATCTTCTTACCTTAATCATCTTTAGTTCATGCCTCTCCTTTTGTATTTACCCTTGCTTAATTTATTTATGCATGGTTTTACAACACTTGTCATTTTTTTAATGCTTATGTTACTTACTCTTGGTTGAGGTGTCATTGGATTTCATGGCTCTCTGTCCTTTTTTACTGTTTCATTTTTACTGCCTTACGTGTCCTTGGTTCTCGTTTGGTAGTTGATCCCTGGTTTAGTCTGAGGTCAGTTTATTTGAGTTTCCCGCCCTTTCTTAGCTCTTCTATATATAGGTCTAGTCTTGGGTGCTTCTCTTCCATTCGTACCATCTTTTGCTTAATCTTTCTCTGCTTGTTTAGTTGTCAATTCTCTCAAATATCCATCCCTCCTTCTAGCTATGCTTCTGCAGTCTCATCCTTTCCTGTTAGTCATTCCAACCGTGTGCTCCAACCAGACTATCAGGGACATGTCTCTGACCCTAGTTCTGGAGTTGGAGGTACTGCCTCACCCCCACACCAGCAGGTTGTTGGAGGTAATCATCTCTAAGGGTGACCCTCCCAAGTCACCCTTAACAGAGTTTTCAGCGGATGGAAAGTTGATAATCACACCTTGTCCAATGATGAGGTCTCTAGGGTAATGGAGTCTAACTGTTTGGTTGGTAAGATCTTTGGTGATGTTATCCCTCTTAGAGTTATAGAAGGTCAAATTAGAAAAATCTGGGCTTTAAAAGGTGATATTTCAGTCCTTGCTATGGGTAATGAATGGTATCTTATTGAATTTAATAACAATGAGGATTTCTTGGAGCACCCTGTGCTCTTGGAGCACCCATGACATTTCTTGGGATAATCTTTCAGACCCTTTTCTTTTTTTACCTTCAGTTTTTATTCAGATTTTGTGAGCTTTTATATCTTTTGTTTTTATATGCAGATTAGCCGGATTGGATGCTCTTATGAGACTTTGTACGTTGCCTTTGGTTTACTACTATCTTCCCACGTGTAGGGAGCTACTTCAGGTTTTGTTATATTCACAATGCCAAGTTCAACCCAGCTTTCTTTATCTAGTTTGTTGTATACTTTGGCTTAGGAGTTGGTGCTTTGCTTTCTTAGTCAGTTTGCTTAGTTTGTTTTCACAACTTCTTTTATTTTGGCCTATTTTAGTTGGCCTCTTTTATGCATATTACACTGTACTCCATTGCAGTCCTTACTTTGGCTATCTCTTTTTGGTTGGTTGTATGCATGCTCTGATGGATTTTATTCACTATACTTTCTGTACTTATTGCTGTAATGTAAGCTATCAGGCTAGCCTTTCAAGGCCACTGACCATGTATTTTGGATACAATTGCGACGTTCTTGTTGAAAATTTGAAAGTTCAGTATTTTTTTTGTCGTCTTGTTCAGTGAATAGTCCATGAATAATGAGTTGGAATATATGTGGGGCTAAGAAGTCCCAAGCTATTAGTGAACTTATTTTTATTCGGAAAAAATTTAATCCGGATATTTTATTTGTTAATGAAACCATGGTTTCTATAGTAACAAGTCGGAGATTATCACGAACTTTAGCCTTCGATGAAATCCATTTTATTAACCCGAATGGCCACTGTGGAGGAATGTGGATTTGTTGAATACCAAATGTATTACTGTACATAATATTAGTTTTTCTCATCGGTTAGCCCATCTTCGTATTACTGATAACACTTCAAATTTTGTTTTTGAATTATTTGGTATTTATGCCTCGGCCCAAGAAAGTCAAAAGATGGGTTTTTGGAACCCGTTTTCCCAGCTTGTTCAATCTTGTTCCCTTCCTTGGTGGATAATAGGTGATTATAATGAGTTATTGTGTTTGGCAGACAAGAAAGGAGGTGTTTTGCCTTTACCTCGTAGGTGTTAAAAATTGCAACGTTTTGTACAGATTACGCAAGTGGTTGACATTCGTCCTATTGTTATGGCCTTTTCTTGGAAAAAACAGATTCATACACATTTAGTGTATGAACGTTTAGACAGATGCCTAACTAGCTAAAGTTGGGCACTGCAATATCCTCATGCAGCTTTATCTTACGAATCTTTCACATGTTCTGATCATAGCCCAATTTGTCTAATCTTCAAAATGGAGGTTTGAAAAAGATATCATCTTTTCGTTTTCAAAATGTTTGGACTCCGAATTTTGAGGCTTATGATTAGTCTCAAAGAATTGGGCACATAGATTAACTGGTTCCAGGTTCTTTTGCATAACTCAGAAATCAATTCGGATTAAAACTGATTTCAAGCATTGAAATTTTAAAAAATATGGTAATATCCAGTCAAAATTGGCCACTAATCATGAAAAACTAAAGAATGTAGAGGAACAGCTACAGGCTTTTCCCTTTAATGTGCACATTAAACAACATTTACTGCGTCTCCTAAAGCAAAGGGAAAAATTACTGTTGTTTGGCAAGAAATATTGGGGGAAACTAGCTCGTAAATCTTGGTTAACTCAAGGAGATAGAAATTCTCGATATTTCCATGACACGATGAAATATTGAAAACATCGATCTCAAATCTTTAAATTAAAAAAGGATGATGTAGATGTTTGGGTTGATTATCCTACAGAAATTACTCAACTGTTTTTTGATGAATTTTCCAAACGTTTTAAATCAGATTATAATTACTCAAGACCTATGTCTATACCATGGGTTCACCCTGTTATCTCTCTCTCAGATAATGATGCATTAACCAACCCTTTTTCTGATGATGAAATTAAAGATGCTTTCTTTGATATGTGCCCTTATAAAGCTCCTGGTTTTGATGGGTTTGGACCCGAATTTTTTCAACATTACTGGCCTATCATAGGAATTGATGTTTGCAAAGCTGTACGGGGGTTCTTTTATAATGGTATTATGCAACGCCAACTTAATCACACGCTCATTTCTCTTATTCCGAAAATTGATGATCCGACTAAGGCTAGTCAATTTCGACCTATTAGTTTATGTGCGACATTATATAAAGGAATTTCAAAAATTCTGGTTAATTGTTTAAAGCCTTTTTTAAAGAAGATCACAAGTCCTTACCAAAATGCTTTTGCCCCAGATACGGCTATTCAAGATATACTGAATATTTTTAATGTCAAAAAATAAAACAGGTTGGTTGGCACTTAAATTAGATATGGAAAAGGCTTATGATAGAGTTGAATGTGATTTCCTTTGGGCAACTCTATCGGCTTTTGGTTTTAACGATACTTGGATCCGTTCGATAAAGGGATGTGTTACCTCCGTCTCCTATTCTCCAATAATGAATAACAATACTATTAATATGATTATCCCTTCCAAAGGATTACGCCAAGGAGATCCTTTATCACCAGTCTTATTTTTTTATATGTATGGAAGTTCTCTCGAAGAAGCTTCTTTCGGATTCTTTAGATCGAAAATCTGGTATAGGTTTTAAAATTGCCTCATCTGCTCCTATTATCCCTTGCCTCTTATATGCAGACGACACGTTATTATTTGGCCGTGCTACTCCAGCGTCTTGTTTTCACATCCAAACATACTTAATGATTTTTCGGCCATGTCTGGTCAACTGATAAATTTTCACAAGTCCTCTATTGTTTTTTTTTTTTTTTTTTTTCTAAATTAGTCCCTTCCTCAAAAAAAAAAAGAAATTTGGCTAGTTATTTTCATATGACTCTAAAGTCTTTTTTGGGTAGATATTTGGGCGTTTTATTTACAACCCGATCTTTTACGAAACAAAATTTCCAGCATTTAGTAACTAAAGCATAACAGAAATTGAACAACTGTTCTTTCAAAAAAAGAAATTGAACAACTGGTCTTCTAATACAGTATCCAAAGCTGGGAAGACTGTTCTCATACAGAGTAATTTGGAAGCTTTACCTTCTTTTTCAATGTCCACAACCCGCCTTCCTAAAAGTATTACTATCTCATTGGATTAGATTATTAGAATTATTTTTTTGGAAACAGTCCCCACAAAAAATGGAATCCCCATGATTTCTTGGGATAAAATTTGTCAGCCCAAAAGTTATGGTGGTTTAGGCTTGCGTAAGACTGAAGCTGTGAATTCGGTTTTTTTAGCCAAGTTAGGGTGGAAAATAATCTCAGACCCAAATAATCTTTGGGTACGTTCGGTTACCGCTAAGTATCTCACTAAACAAACCTTCTTTGAGTATAGGCCTCAGCCAAAGGACTTTAGGATTTGGAGAAAGATTCTCCAAATCCGCCCTCTTCTTCTTAAGGGACTTCGTTGGAAAATTGGTAATGACACTACTGTTCTTTTCTAATTGGATAATTGGTGTTCTTCTGAAAATATTATTACTATGTTAAATTTAGATATTTCAGATATCCACACTCTAGATCTTACTGTGGATGAATTTATTACGGACTCTAATGAGTAGGATGTTACGGCCCTGTCTCTTCTTGTTCCTAATAATTTAGTCCAGATTATTCAAGGCATCCCTCTTCCTTCCTCGTCTATCCAAGATGAACCTTGCTGGAGTTTGTCTAATACTGGCGATTTTATTGTAAAATCTGCTACTTGGTTAGCCCATAATATATCTTCCCACACTAAGTGAGAATTTGCTTGGATTTGGAAATTAGATATCTCTCCAAAATTGAAAATTTTTGTTTGGCAACTTCTTCATAAGGCTCTTCCTAATAGAGCAAATCTTGCTCATCACCAGTTGGACGTTCCCTATACATGTCCTTTATGTAATTTACATGTTGAAACCCAGGATCATATATTCCTTTCATGTTTGTTTACAAAACGTTTTTGGACTGCTAACCCTACTACTAATTGGCTAGGCCATGTTCCTCTTGATAATAATTTTTATCATCTTTTCAGGATTTTACGTGGGAATTTTACTTTTTCTGTGATTAAAATTATTACTTCTATGTGGAGTATTCGGAAAACCAGAAACACAATTGTTTTTCAGAACATGAATTTCTCTTCTATGGCTATTTTATCCCGTGCCCAAAAAATCTTTCACGAATGGAAGTTGTGCTCTTGTTTGGATTCTATGGATAATCAGTTAACTCCTTCTCCTTCTTATGCTAATCCTCGGACCATTCGGATTTTCTGGTCTCCTCCTCATCATGGTGTTGTTAAGATAAATTTTGATGGCTCGGTGCGTGGTGGCTCAGGTGCTGAGGTGTGGTTATCAGAGACCACTTCGGTAATCATATTTGTAGCCAGTCTTATAATATTGGCACAAGTACGCCTCTTATTGCTGAGGCTACTGCCCTTCGCAATGGCCTTCTTCTTTCCCGGTCCCACAGTTTTCCTCATATTTTTATTGAAGGGGATAACTTACTTATAATTAATATTTTGCAGGGTAAAGCTCAGTGCCCGTGGAAGATTCAGTTACTGCTGGAAGATATTAGGAGCTCCTTCGTCTTTTCTTTTCCGTCGAGTCCAAGCATATCTATAGAGAGGGCGATAGAGCAGCAACTTATGTTGCTTCTTTAGGTCATTTCATGCATACGCACCAAGATATTGATCCTTTTTTAGATAGTAAGTTTTCTTTTTTTTATTACTTCATATAGGTTGAGTTACAGTCTTGAGAGAAGACTAGCCTAACTTCTTGTATCTTTCCTTTTTTTTTTTTTTAAAAAAAAAATCTAATTATTCTAAAATCATGATGTTATTTTTTAATTTTGTTATTAGGCATGGGCTTAATGAACAAAATTACTTACTACAACAGACTGACAGAGTATGGACTGGGCTAATACCATAGAATTCATGCGAGTTGACTTTTACTTAAATCAAAGTACAAGATCAACTTAAACCAAATATAGGGTGAAGGATTGAAGGCCTTGCCTAACTTGGATTGTTAACGTGGGATGCTAGCTACTTGGCTACTTATTGCACATCATCGATTACATGTGCTAGTGAGCCTTGTACTCAAGCTAGTCATGCTTGAAACGATCAAAAAATAATTGTGTATGTTGGGCTCGTGTCAAACTATTGTAAAAGAGGCCCAAGCATGGCCTTCATGTAAGTGATCCCATTAATACTTTTTTTTGTTAATTTGCTAATCGATTAAAAATAGATGGTTGTGTGTAGTCTGACACACAAGCACTCATTATGCTTGTGTGTTTTTGAAAATAATGGTCCTGTTTGGGAGAAAGTTGAAGGCTGAAAGCTGAAGCTGATTGAGTTAGCTGATTTTGACTAGCTGATTTTATTAACTGATTTGACTAACTTATTGTATTAACTGATTATATAAAAGTGTTTGGTAAATAGCTGATAGCTTAAAGGTGATTGAGTATGTGAAATG